GAAAGAAGAGAGTGCTGCTTCTTTAGACAGTTTTAAATCAATGCTCAGACAATAATTCAGTTCCATCTGTTCTCTTCAGTCGAGGGGCTGCATAAGGGAATCACAGCAAGATGGATGGTCCATTTCACTGAGATCATTGCTTTTCCTATTGATCGCCCAATGCAGGTCTAGCCCGAGTCCAGACACTGCTGAGGAGATATACGTAGCAGTATAGGAACATAACATGCACTCACTGCCCCAAGCAACCCCACCGCCCAACAAAACAGGTTGATACAATGTGGTAGTTTCAGCCAAGCAGGCTGGTCAGAGATGCATTTCAACTGAACTAATTCCCATTAGCTGTTCTGTATTGCTTACTTTGCGGAGATAGTTGGAAATCTGTCTTGTTTTCCTCTGCGTTTTTCATGTGTATGCATGCGTCTTTGCCAGACAGCACCCATTCTACAGTCTCCACAATACCAGTACCAACCCTCCTTGCGACGATGATTGCCTCACGTGTAAACTTACGAGGCACAGCTCTCTCTGGACACTATCTCATCCAAGAATGTTTGGCTTTGTTGTCCTTTTGTTCTGTCTGAAGGAAACTGTCTGCTACAGTGCCCACACAGTATTGAGTAAGCATCTGGAATGAGTCATAGCCCCAGTAATGGAAATCCATTTAGCTTGGACTGAAGTATAAGTCTGCGCAGGGAAGCGTATCGTCACGCTGAAGTGAACCCCTGGCTACCTTTCAGCAAAGGAAGGACAAGCATGCAACATTCAAGGTGAAAAGAACAATCAACAAAAAGTCTCACAAACAAGTGTGTGCAGTTGATTGCAGCTGACTGCATCTTTTTTTAAACTATTCTTGTTTTTTGTTGTAACTGTTTTTTCACTGGATACACACTAATGACTGTATCCTTATGCAGTAAGCACCTAGCCTTGGGTGATTGAAAACGGGGTGTCCTCAGTGAACGAATGATCTGATCTGAATGAGAAGAGCCATGAAAGCTCCAGAATTTGAAGCAAAATGCAGATCCATGGATCATTAATATTTACATATCCTTCAAGCCAGGGAGAATTGAATTTTTTGAAGCCGCCCTTTTAGTGTAATGTATGCGCTCTGGCTGTTGATTGTGACGTTGCCGCAGACTGAGAGGCAAAACTGTGAATACATTTGAAGTGAATCTTTTAATGGAGACATAAAAGAAGGCCAGTGAAGGTCAGTCTCTCTGTGGTGGTGCGAGCTTCTGCACTCTCCTAAAATGTTTGGGTTACTCAAAATTGAATAAAGCTGGCTTCCCTTCCAAATGGGACGTTCTGTAATGTATTTATTAAATTGCGCAGTCTTCTCCTTTACCACTGGAAATGTGAAGCTTAGTGTTTTCTCTTGATCAGGGGATCATTATAGTAAAGCGCTGTTGCCCGTGCATAAAAGCACTGCATCTCTCCAAGCTCTTTTCAGGAGTAAAGCAATGCACTAATATTCTCTATCTTATAACAAAAGCGTTTTCACACTCGTGACTTCACTAAACTAGATTCATGAGACTTATTCTGCAACATATAAAAACAATCAAGAAAAAACACCAAAAGTTAAGCCATTTTCTCCAGCAGAGGTGGTGTTAGTGTTCCTATTAAAGTGAGACACAACAGCTGAATGAGTAATGAGCTCCATCACTTGTTTTCATCTCTTTGTTCATCCCTCTCTTCAACTTTTATCATTTTGCTCTCTCTTTGTCTCTCTCTGTTTGTGTTTGTGTGTGTGTGTGTGTGTGTGTTCAAAAGATGTTATGATTCATTTACAATTCTGTGCCCTATCAGCCACCAATTTATTTCAAAGTCCTTGAAGGTAAATCTGTCACTGACTGGTGATGTGTGTTACATTCCCTTCCAAGGACATAGTGGCAATTAGAGATAAAATGATAGATAGACATACAGACTATAGATGGACAGAAAGATAGAAGCTGGGAGACCTTCTCATCCCCCTGAAAGCTCATCTGAGTCCATCCAGCAAAAACTCATGAAATAATGAAATTCTGAAATATTTAAAGGATAAACATATGGTTCCACATACAGTATATTTTATTCAGTAGCGAGTCACAATGCTCTCCCTGGGAAAATGACTCCCCACATTGCCATTCACCACCATCAGAGAATCAGAATACATTATACCTCCTCCCTATATACCCCGATCACCCATTTCCCCTGTAACCCGTTTTTGAAGAGTTGTATACTTCTGCTATTGTGGATAACCCTTCTAACCCCATTTAAAATAGTTTTATTTATTTTTATTGAATACAAATGTTACATTATGTGGACAATATTATAACCTTTGGTTTATTTAATTTTTTTAAACAATTGTCTGTTAATGTGAATGTAAGTGTGAGCAGTGGAGACTTTTACAGCCGTATAGTAACAGTGTCTGTGGGGATGACACCTGCCTTAGTGCTCTCCAGATGCTCCGCTCTAACATCAGGTCATTTAGAGTCACAGTGGGATTGGTTGTTCTTCAGCCACTGATTCTTATGTGTCTTCCAAAGCCAGACGTTGTTACTGCAGCTCTGTGCCTGTGTTCTCAATTTACTCTAACAAGGCTCACACCGACCACCATAAAAGTGTTGGTTGTCTGTTAATATCAGGAATCGCCTGCTGTCGGTCTGGTTTTGATTCAATGCTGCTGCACTGTTTAAAGCATCTTTGGGACACTGACCAGAGGAGTTGGCAGGAGCAGATTGCATTAGTCACATTAATCTGGGGGAAAAAAAGACAACTGCAGGTGCTTACATTTAGTTACATACTGACAAAACTAGGAAATAGTTGAGACTTCAGGAAGTTACTGTCCCGCACCAAGAAATAGTCAAGCACAAAACTTCCTTAAAATAGTAAATTGTTGTTTTTACACTTTGTGTTTTGTATGGATTAAACAAACAAGATGTATTGTGTTCATCGAGTTTAAGAGGTGCTGGTAGGCGGATTGTGTTACCTTTGGACAGAGCTAGCTGGCTCCCCCTATTTCCAGTCAGTATGCTAAGCTAAGCTAAGCTAAGTGGCTGCTGGCTGTATAATAGATATGCGAGTGGCATCAGCCTTCTCATCTAACTCGAAGCATGAAAGTGAACAACCGTATTGCCCTAACAATTTCTTTAAAATGGTTGCAAAATTAGTTCATGGACAGCTCATTAGCTCATTCATCCGTAGTACGGCATCTGACCTCATTGGTCGGTGGAGAGGGACGAAGCAAGGCAAACGGGATAAAATCCTTGCAGATTCTCTCTCAGTCTGAATCTGGGTTTACTTTTGAGTATGTTTGCTTTGGGGTGGAAAAGCAGTGCGAGTCAGGCTCTGATGGATGCAGCCGTTAAGCCGCAGGCTATCAATCAACTCCAGCTGACTCTGAATGCGGCCCCACCATGTGCTGCGCTGTGGCCCAGGGTGAAGGAAGAGAAGTCAGCTATTTCTTGTTTTCTCAGTTTGGGCACCGGCAAGTTAATCACAGAGATGCACAGCCTCCTTCCTCGGGGGGCCCGGAGCCTTGACGGCCTCCTCACAGTGTTGTGTCCAAGGCGAGCGACAGGCTGGACAAACAGATTGGCTGAAGCTGGATAATGAGGCATGCTCTCCAGCCAAGAGGCCAGCCAGCCAAACCAACACCACAACAAAAATAAAAAAAGTGCTACAATAATAGGCAATTAGCCTTTCGTTGGAGAACAGCAGATATCCACTTATCTCTCTCCTTGCCCCCTCTTTACTACAGTCTGCCCCTTTGGTTTGACATATGTTCCTGATTTCTCCAAAAACTACACTCCGATTCTTGGTTTGAGTGATTTCTAAAATCCCTAACTATCGACCACAGACCCAATAGGTCACCCTGTTATCTATTACGGCCCTCCTTCTTATAAGAACTGATGGAGGTTGATTCAGATATTTATCACAAACCTGACATCTATGAGAGCGGCCAACCCACCACGACAATATCGGACTCAAACACACTCATGCAGAATATGAGCTGTCCGTATCCGACTGTGTCCCATCGATAGCTGTCTGCTCACTGAAACAAAATGACCTTTATTCATTCAACCTTGAAGGAAATGAGCCACAGAGCTGGTAAGAGCAGGAATGAGTGCAATAACGGTGCGCCAACTGCTGACGGATGTTACGAGCCGAGTTCTTGACTGTTGCCAGAGTGCTTCAATACCATCTAGTGGTGATTCTTAGCACAAACACACACAGAAAGAGAGAGAGAAAGTGGAAAGCCCAAATGATAATGAGTAAGTGGGGAGAAATGAAAAAAGGAAATCTATTATAGTATACAATCTGTTCATCCCGCCCACCCAGCACACCACCTGTTCCAGCCTATTCCTTCTAAATCAATGCACCACCAAGACAAACTGATTCAGAAACAGATCTTTATCCACTGCAACCCACTCTTTACTCCATCCACTGCCTTCTTGGCAAACTGCACTAGTCGTTACCGTTGTCGGATGTTTGAAGTATATACCACGTGGTGTATAATGTGGCCATTTTCTGTATTTCCTGTGAATATATTATGTTGATACATAAAGGGACACAAATCCCACCTGCTTTGCTGTGTACTCATGAAAGTGAATTGAATTAAATCGTCACACCCGAGTTGCAATGTTTTGGTTGTAAATAGTAAGTCAGTGGCTGGTATACTTTGAGCAGCAGAGGCCATTAAACACACACACGAGCTACAGTAATGTATGTCAGAGGTAAACCAGAGGTTCCTGGGACAATGAGGGACGAGGGTGGTTGTCCCTCTGGATGTTGGCAGCAGCTCTGGAGAAAAACAGACACCCGAATCTTTTGGCAAAGAACACCATCTACTGGAAAATACAAGAAACGCATAAAGCCAGGATCCAAGTGGAAACTGTAGCTCAGTTAAAGTGCTCTGGGAATGTACTGTAGGTTGGTGGGTGATGTAATGCATGTATGAGGTGCATTTCACTGTAACCAGAGATGCAGTTTGACCTCTTTTTTTTGAGTTTTAGTGTCAAAACAAGTTAGCTAATCAATGCTTTTATTTGTTGCTATTTGTTGGCGATACATTTTCATTGAAATGGCATGGAGATTGTGGATGGATTACTCTTCCAGGAAACAAATGAATTTTACATTTCCTACCGATAAACACTTCATCAGAACAGAATAAATTGATATTTCATAAAATTCTTTATTTATAAACTTGATGCAAGTTTACAAATTACTTTACATGGTCAAAATCACCCTTGCAATGGAAAAAATGAAACCAAACCAAAGCATGCTAACAGTGCATAACTTTATAACCCGGCCACTGCAGTTAATGAAGCAAGGTAAAGAACCCAGGATGAGGCCGAGTCAGACCTCAGACCAATATGTTGCTCGCCAAAGCGGAGAAGGTTTTTTTTTTTTGTTAGTCAGACAACAGGAGTTGGTGTGAGAGAAGCTGTTTTTTTTTTGTTTTTTTGTCGGTGCACAACAGTCTTGAGTACACCATTATTCCAAATGTCAGGGTAAAGATGTGGGTTTACTATTGTTCTGATGGCACACACATCTGAACTGCTACTTTTGTTGGGAATCCTGGCATCTTTAAAGGGAATCCAAGCAGGTAGGATGTCTTGTTAAGTCCATGCGTCTCTCATAGAATCTGACCTGGTTAAATAAGCGGCACGCAGGGAGAAACTACCCTGTGCACTGATGTAGGGAACCACAAGTAAACAATGAACAACCGATACATCTAGTCTTTTTATCACCCTACCCGACCACTCTTTTGTCTTCAGTAGCTCGGTGTAAAACACCCATTGATATATTGACATGCAAAATACAGCAATATCAAAGAGACGGGGTAGATGTGTTCTGAACCCCTCATCAAGTGCAGGTTCATCCGAGGGTGGGAGCAATACTCCTGCTCCACATCCGATTACAAAAAAAAACAAAACTTTTTTTTTTTTTTTTAACCTCACAAGTATTCAGAATTTGACAGCAAACCATACTGCGATGCCTTTTGGTAAAACGGATGAGTCTCATTAAAATGGCCCAAAACAAAAAGAAGATTGACACGTTCAATCTTGCACTTTATGACGATATTCTGAAGCAATCCTTAGCAAAGTCGAGTGTGCGGTATGTATTCCTGAGTTTGCTTCTCCAGAGAATGCAGGGGTGGGCTCGACATGGTGACCGGAATGAAGTGATTAGTACATTACCAATGGCATCACAACAGCTAACAACCATGCCAATGATTCTGTCATGTCGGGGCTTTTGCTTGGGGTGAAAGAAGGAGGGCGACACTTGCTATGGACATCCTGCAAGTCTAAACAAAAGTCAGACGTGTGCTGAATATGAACAGGCTGTATGATTTTTTTTTTTACCCATCTGTACCGTTTTTTGAAAATATTGGCGTTGTGACTGAGGTCAGCATCGCTGAGGAAATCCTAAATCAACCTAAAAAAAAAAAAAAAAAAAAATGAGGAATGACTGTATGAATTAGCATAACTAAGCTTTCTATGCTGGTTTTCAGGACAATATACTTAAAACAATGCAAGTAACCACACAATAGAACACCCACAACAAACGTGTAACTGCATTAATTGGAATGCTCCACACAGTTTTCTGCATATTATTCACATTACATCAAAGACCCAGCACGCCGAGGGGTACAGCAGCGCTGAGAGTGGTTATGAATAGTAACCAGAGAGGTGGTAACGGGAAGAGCCGGGTCCCTCCTGTGGCAAATCGGAACAACTATTTATCAAACCTACACAAATAGTCTGGAAACGGACCAGACTCCAGTCAATCTTCCCAGGTGTGAAGCCAGAAGGTATAAGGTCGAGACTATTGCTGTGAATTTGAAACTCGGGCTGCATTTTAAAACCAGCCGTGAGGTCAAGGAAAAGTCAGAAGGTAAAAAAAGGTCACTTTTTTTTCTCTCCCCTCCAGACTGTTACAACTGCAGGATTGGCAAAGTGCTCAGGATGTGAACGAGCTACAAGGACTAAGCAGGCGACTACGCTGATAAGACTCATTTTCCTCAGTACAACAAAACTCCCAAAAACTGTCTCCTCACTGCATAGCCTTACTGAGGTTCATCCGGTTTGCGTGAAACGATATGAGTAGCCAACCCTCTGGAATGACAGAAACAGCTGCGTCTAAGAGGTGCTGTCAAAAAAAGGGGGATGGTACTGTCGATGTTGCCAATAACATGAGGATTACAAATAAAGATTAAAAAAAAACAAAAAAAACGAACAAAACCGCAGTAGTCATTAAGCTTACATAAGATCACGGTGTACTTTTGTTTCCTTCTGCAAGAGTATCCATGAAGCAACGTTTTCTTATTCTAAATGGGTCTTGAGAAGTTGCAGTGCCCTTGCTGTTAATAGTCAAGGGTGTATATAGTAATACGGTCTTTGCCGAGTCAAAGAACCAGACAAGGTTACATTATAAACAATTAAATCCTTTTGCAGAAATACAAATTTACATGTTTACACGTGAAGTTAAAATCAACTACATTACAGTGTGATCCAAACCGAAACACGCCGCCGCGTCGCCTGGTCGTGTTTCATGGGTTGCCAACACCCCAAACCTCTCCTGCGGGGGTTGTCCAGTTGCTGGTTGTGATGATGATGACGATGATGACGATGATGACAGTGGTCTCCAACTTTGGAGCTCAGCAAGTTCTTCATTGTGTGCTGTCCCACCCAGGCTGCAAAAGTCTCGTTATCTTCCTCCCCCGCCTCAGGGCTTCAAGCTTTAAAAGAAAAGAGGTTTGAAAGCAAGCTCGCCCCGGAAGCATGTTATTCCAGAGGAGGGATCTTGGCATTGCAAAGATAATACATGAGCACAATATTACAGAGGACGTCCATGGAGAGAAAGGACAGCGGTTCTTCCACCACCAGCATTTAAATGTCGCCTCCCAGCCACCACTAGGTCACATCAGGGATCCAGTCTGTGGCCAGAGAGGCAGTGTCATGCTGCACCGTTCAGCACACAGCACAGCGGGGAACCGTGGCATGCTCAACGGCAAAACCAAAAAGAGTGAGTACGCGATTATTTAGTCCGTCGTGTTGCTGGAGTATGGGATGAATGTCGCAATGGAGAACTTAAGATTGTATCAGACAACAGATGTACAGAGATAAATATTGAGGAGAGGACACTATTGCGAGGAGCTGATGAGATTGGATGTAGATTTCAGGTGTGTGTGTGTGTGTGTGTGTGTGTGCTTATGTGCTAGTGTCTGGGTGGGCACTGAATGAGGAATTTGGTTTGGAGTTCAAACTCTCATGTAAGAGAGCCAAATGGTTCGCAGGATAAAAAAAAAAAAATAATATGGGTCGCGAGGAAAAAAAAAATAAATCGAAGACATGTGGTCCCAGTGCAGGAAAGGCAGTAGTCTGTTTTAGCCGTCTTCCTTCGGGGGTGTGTACCAGCCTGAGGGGGAAAAACAACAAAGAATGACTATACTGATAACAAATAAACTATTTACAGTCCCCGGGTCTCCACCACCAGTAGTATCAGGGACACATGCAGAGGCTTTTTGCATGTGCATCATATTCTGCCTCATTAGCATGTATCTGCATGCTAATAGTTGGTCCAAGACCCAACACACTGGGTAGAAAGTGTTCAGTGGTTAAGCCCAGGGCACATGTGGTAAAAACATTAAGCCAGAAGCTCTCACTTTGATTAATCCACTAGAATTATGTATAGCTCAATGTAGCCGGACAGAGTAAATGTATTTACATATTACTGCTGTTTTCACAGAGCAGAAGGACAACAACACATTGCATCAATGGTGATCTTTCAGCCACAGACCCTACCAGCGCTGTGGGTCTAGTAAAATTAACTTGGAAATTTGAATGTTGATTCTTCTCTTGTTGACTCAATTCTATATTAAACTGCATAATAATTGGATTTGAATGTGTATATCATTACTGCAAACAGCAGAATATCCGTTATAATGATCAAAGTCACAAAGCGTTCAGTTCATATGCAGCTAGGCGGCATGTCAATGAAACAATGTTAGAACATCATCATTGGACCTGAACATGACATTTTGAATGACATTGGTAAACAGCAAGTTATATCATTAATTTGAATAGTTGTTAACACCATTATTTTAGGGCATTTGTCATCTTCCATAATGTGTGTAACCTATGTAGTACTACTACTTTCCTAACTACTTTACAAATTGAGTGCAATAATGTGGACTCCATGAATGTTGTCCATGTTTTGTAATTACACAACAGTACAAGCAATACTTTCCCTCAGCTGTGATGCATTGCAGGTGTTTGGTTTCAGTAAACAAGGTCAGTAACCGGAGACACAAACACTCACCGTTCTTTTCATGGATCTGAACCAGGGATTTGTAGGACTGCTGTGCTCGGGCAAGATTGTACTGGTTCTGTAGTAAAAGATGAAAATGAAATAAACCTTAAGAGTGTGCACTGGGTTTATGACGAACAGAATATACAGATCAGGAAACAGCTGTAATAAAAAATAAATAAAAAGCTTATCGAACTGTATCCAAATTCAAGAGCAAAACCCCAGTGTATGGTGCAGGCACACACACACACACACACACACACACACACACACACACACACACACACACACACACACACACACACACACCACCTCTGCACAGATTTGACTCTTTGCTAAGTCCCGCCTCTCAAATACAGACTGGCCAATCACATGGTAGCATCAGCTAGTTCTGACCAGGGTCCGACAACTATTAGGCCCGTTCCATAGACAGCAACAGCGTCCCAATCATGCAATCGTTTGAGATTTTCTTCAATTTCCGGCAGGTTTTCTGTGAGCTAGTCATGGTCATACGTTGTGTAATAGTGATACTTGTTACCTGGCGCTTCTATCTTCATCTCTTTAACCCGTTTATACTGCCGAGTTACTTTGACATTTCCTTTTTTAGTTTCTCCAAAAAATAGATCATCTCCATGCAGGGAGTGCATAATGTTAATGAGCTTATCTAAGTTTCAATTACACAAGACTTTGTACACATACATATGATAGAACACACCTGGGGTAGGTTTCACAAAGATGGGCTGTGACTATGGCTTGGATCAAAGCAATAGTCTAAATTCATCCTTTGCACACGAGTTCTAGTTCCGGACTATCTTCGGTCAGACTAATTTACCGTGAACGAGGCCGACTGCTCAAACCGCTCCGCTCCCTTTGATCCAGAAATAAATGTTGTGGAAGAATTCAACAGTTTCCAGGACATTTTACAGGGAAAAGTGTGTCACCATAAGAAAATTAAAATAAAAAAAAAAAATGAAACAAAATCTCGACACAATGCTGAGATGGAGCCGAGTTGAGATGCTGTAGCAGGGCTCAACTCTTCCGTCAGGCTGAGGATAGTTTCCTTAGGCAAACAAAACTCGCCTCACTGGTATACGTATTTTTAAATCCAACGTGTTACGTTGTCCTTCTCACTTGCGTCTGAAACCAATAGGCTTCCATTTTAAAATCAATACAGCTGGCTCCATAGGCCACTTGCGCTGTATGTGCTAAACAGCATACCGAAGCGTGTTTTCAATGCTTTAAGTCTATTTTCTTCCATTTTATGCAAGCAGGCTTTGAGCCCCGCCAAAACGCGGGGGAGCGACACTCAATACACTGCGCGAACATCTCCTGTGTGTACGTGGACACACGAGGATGACTGAAGCTGCTCTGTGTAACAGCTGCTTTCACTGGGCGGGCTGTGTAGACAATATGTAAGACTCTAGCAATTCTATAGTGACCCTATAGTACCTCTACAGCGTTTAAAGAAGCTCCTGTCCCCCTTTTCATATGGTGTCAGATGAAGTGCTTAACCCTGGTTGAAACAGTTGAACATAACATATGTTGATCTGTCAATAATACTAACGGAAAACACCGGTTTATCCCAAGTTACTGCGTAAATCTGAAAGTGGTGCGCAGGGTTAAGATCAAAACTACACTCTCAAAACAAGAGTTTTCACTTCAAACCCCGAAGAGAACCTAACTACTCCTGTTAGGTTAAAACCGTTAGTGCTCCGATTCTATTGTTGACAAAAACACAGATTGCTCTCTGATAAAAAAAAATAGCTTCACGTGTTCATTATAATGCTAAAATTATGCATTAACAGCCTAAATTATTATTATTTATTTTTTGTAAATAAAAATTTAAAGATTTTTTTTGGAATCTGCCAAAAAAAATTGCATCTGGTACAAATCTTCTCACTTGTCAGCTCATCAAAGTAACTCTTACATTGACACGTTGCAACAATTTAAATGTGACGAACAAAACTTGCATGTTTGACTAATAAACTGAATCTTGGTTGCTCATATCCCCGCATTTAAATAGTTAGATAGATTGAGAAAAGATGAAAGCCAAACACAGAAGTGAGAAACAACAACTTTTGCATCTCTGACCTTCTGAGACATGAAATACTGAAGTACTAAACTTATCAAACTCTGGGAGAAGCCGGTAGCCAGATTAAGTGTCATTAACAGAACACGAGGGCACAAAAAGATAAAGCATATCAACAGCTTTGTCTGCATAAACAGGAGATGTTCACGCTGCATAACAGACCCACATCAGGGAACCAGGCCTCGGCCCCCATCATTCATTATGTGAGCTCAACATTATCACAGGACGTCACCGAACTTAATAAGAAACGCGCTTCCTCACTTACTTTATTGGCTCCAAACTGCACTCTGGCTTTTCCTTTGACTAAAGTGGCATTGATCTGCATGATGACAGACTCAATGGAATAGGCACTGCTCCAACCCTGCAATCGCAAAACCCAATGTCAAGATAAGTAGTTTGTAAAAAATGTATAAAAATAGACACAAATATATTGAATATTATGTCGTGCAAATTCACATTATTTTTACTTCTTTAAAAAGAATACACTTGACTTACCTGTTTGGTAAGGAGTTCCATGCACAGGGCACCTCCTCCAAGAACATAACTAGGCAAACACAGAACAACAATATCAGAACAACATAATTAAGTTCTCTTCCAAGAGGACAAGACTTCTCAGCGTCAACTGAGAAAATTGTCGATGGGGAAGAAAAACCGGTGGAAAAGTGTACCCGGTAAATGAACTCACCCTCCAGACAGCACAGGCGAAACCACTCGGACGAAAGGTGGATCAAAGGGGAAATTATCCTGTAAAGCAGGGCCAGCAACAACGCTCAGTTTACAGACTTCAAAGACTCCAAAATGGTGTGTGTGTGTGTGTGTGTGTGTGTGTATGTATGTATGTATGTATGTATGTATGTATATAAAATATTATTTTAAATGTAGAGTCAAATTTACTCACTTTATATGAGAAGTTTAGTAAAATGTAATCCATTCCTTCCTTTTCCTTTAGGACCTGTAAATCGCTGTGTAAGGGGCTATCTGGATCCACCCTGTCGGTCAATAAATGATGACATCAGTCTGCGTTTATGCTGACGTTGAGATAAATAATACGCGACACAAGATCCCGCGGTTACTTACGTCCTTAGTTTGACGTGCCATTCGTACAGGCTGTCGTTAACAAGCTCGACCGAATAGATGCCTGCAAAAGAAATTGATTATTTAAGAGTTTAGTAAAAACTACAATGATTTAATCTCCCTTTTCATTTGCAGTGAGGCAAAGCATGACATGTATTTCAACATGTACTTCCACTCTCATACCACTGTCAGTTAATTCTGAGGAAATTGTTTAAAGAGCAGACCATTGTGCCGAGTGCATACCTGTCTTGTAACTCTGAGACCTGTAGATCTCTCTGAGCTCCTTCATCAGGCGGTCGGAGGCCTGCACGGAGCCAGACACAGCGCCCTGCCAAATTCAAAACATTAGTTCCATAGTTAAGATATATTTCAAAAAGCTGTTATCAACGATAAGGGTCTCGGCACCCTAAAATATATGTACTTTACTGAAGAAAGACTTACATTCAAGTGGTCCTGCCTCTGGTTCTTTCGGATTTTCTCCAGGATGGCTAAATTCTCCTTCTCAATGCCATCGTCCTCGGATTTTTTCCCATCCACAGGCTCCTCCTCTTTCATTTCATAGTGGTCCAGATCCTCTATGTCCTGTTGTATAATATTTGATATTTTAGACAGTTTAAATACTTTCTGGCTCTCCAACAAAACATGCAACATGAAAAAAGTCCAGGAATCAAAGCCAGAAGATGTGCTTAAAACGTCCTTGTTCACTAGAATAACACGGTAACGAAGCCAACATTGACATTAGCTTGTGAATAACCAGGGTGACTAGATCATAATCACACCAAACCTAAAGACAATAATCATGAGTATGTATTGGGGGAGGATAAGGACAGACATACAAAAACATGGTCATCTTTATTAAACAGTATGCTTTGCTGACAGCCTAAACGTTCCTCTTTCAAGTTATGTAAGACGAAGAAATTACAAGTGTTTCATTACCGAGCATCTAGATGATAACTTACCTCTCCCATCTCTTCCTCCTCCTCTTCTTCAGATGTGACCTCCTCTGTCCCATGCTATACACACACATATACACACACACACACACACACGGTATTGAGTCAAGCTGAATAAAGTCATCTGAAGGAGCCTCATGAGCTGACCTCATGAAGACCACCTTCTGCTGACCATCACCACAGGAAGAGCCTATTGACCAGCTAAGAGAGCAACTTCACACAAATCACCAAGGCCCTCTGTAATGTAGGCAGCCATTTCAGAACTGAGCAAAAGTTGTTTGGATGTGCATAGTTAAAAACATCCTTATTTAAATGAGCATGTCTTATTCCTTAAAAGTGATCAAATACTGGCCATGTCCTGGCTGTGCCACTATATGCCATGCGGAGGTATTTAGCCTTGCCTTGCGGTCTTGTCCCACAGGACCTGCTGGCAGGGGCTGGTCCAGCATCTCCACATCTGGATGTTGGGGAAGGTTGTACAGCCGACAGAGATCACAAATGAGTTTCTTCAACTGCTGCAAAAGCTGGAAAATACAAAAGCACAAACAGGAGGGGATGAAGAGTTAGACAAACAGCTACACAGCAATGCCACGTGGCAGACATGTGACTGCAGGCGTCAACAAATAGTTGATTATCAAGTTAATCCTAAAATGTATAAAAGCCCATCATCAGAAATTAAAATCTGCTTTACAAGCTATACAGCATACAGTACATCATACATAAAGGACATCTGTCCTAAGACCCTCACTTCAGATAATTATCACAATTAATAAAATATATATATTTTTTGTAATCACAGGATCTTAAATGCAAAACTAGCAATTTGCAATTGTACGAAACAGAAGACATGAGATAATTACATTATTCACCAAGCAGTGTGTTTCAGTGCATTCAACCTTAAACTGTGGAATGATGAAGTAAAATCTTGCAATGTTTAAGTGTAGCAATAAAGTTAGGTCCAATTACTCTCACATGACTTCAAAGTAAGGATTTACACATAACAACACTGACACAGTTTGTACTCGTACGCAAAAAACAGGCGACATAGTCATTAAGGTGCCATCAGCTACTGTGATCTGCCTTTGCAAATTTGGTGCAATTCAAATGTAGGGTGCCGCTAAAACATCTGTGCAACAGTTTGAAACTAGATTGATCTTATCTATCCACAGGAAGGTTTGTCCTTTACCCAACACACAACATTAACAATGATTTATATATTATTGTAGACTAAATTATGGTGCAAACTGCAAACCAAAAAAAAAATTCTGTCAAAAACAAACCTGACAGCACTTCTATAAAAAGCATATTTTGTGTCCTACAAACAGAGCACCATGAATAAGTAGGCTAACTAAGCTCAGGATGTCACCACACATGTAGGATTACATAATAATCTGCTTGTCACAGCTACATGTTCAGCTTAAAAATTGTCCCAATGATCTAATGTCAGTCATTTCGTGTGCTTAAAATTCCCCAAGTACAAAGTCACACGGACATTTATGCAGCACATGCAAGTTTGATTGTGCTCGAGAGCCCATAAGAAATTTGACATACGCTCTAAGTTGTGAGCATCTTGTAAATACATCACTAAAATGAGGAAATCCCCCAACCTGCATCAGCGAACACTCTCTTTAACTCGATCAGTGAGCAGAAAATATTGCAAGAATGATGCAAACAAATGTTAAAGGAAAAGTACTTTATGAAATGTAATCTAGAATACAAATATAAAAAGCCAGTACTATGTGAATTTAGTGATTGGTTGAACTAATCACAGTCCACCTCCCCGTGATGAAGCTCAACACAGCAGGCTGGCATTACGTCAAAAATAATGCAAAGAAAATGCTCCTGCTGAGTGGCAGCCTGGTCAACACTTGTAACGTTAACCTTCACGATGTCAACTAAAATTGTCAGCAGCAGCTTCCTCACCAAGTGGGCATAATTCGTCAAATTCTCCTCTGTGACACATAGTGGGGGGAAAAAACAAAAATGAGTTCGGATAACTAACCAGGGTGCTGCCTTTTCTCACATCTTCCAACCTCTCCAAAACTTGCGCCAAGCTCGGGTCATCAGAGTCCACAAACCATATTGGCGGCGTAGATGGATAAGATTCCTAAAGACAGTGGAATACAGCAAAAAAAAAAAAAACGGGACCGTCACATCAAAACATTTGACCTAAATTCACCTGCGTGTCGCAGGGCTAAACATAGAATCAGTAGCGTAACATTTGATTTAGCGACATTAGCATTCAGAGTGCAGCGTTAGCTATCAGCTACGGTTGCTTAATATACGTTGTATTTTTAGACCAACAAACACCTCTACCGAGACTGCGTAGTTCCCACTGACACTTATGAAACTATGGAAAACCTGTGCGACATAGCATCAGATTGTTCAGTCGTTGGGGTAGCCTGCTACCTGACTAGCAAGTTAACCAGCTAACTTTAGCTCGCTAACGACCAACAAGGGAAGTGTATAAATCCCGGCATTTGCGTTCTTGTCCCCCTTACCGTTATATTACAGTGGATAATTAACAGCTTTTCCCCAGTTACATTAAACTGGCAGCTCAGTTCGTCAGGCTTCCAGTCAATGATCCTGAAGCGTTCGTGGTTTGGATCAAAAATGGACTCCAAAAACTTCAGTTCGGCCTTCAGCCCCGACACCGACATCTTCCACGCATCTCCGGCCGGGCCGCTGGGGAGGGGGAGAAGTCGGGACTTAGCTTTTAGCTAACGTTAGCTAAAGCCACAACGCAGATTTCTGGACAAAATTGGTTAAAATGTGGCAAATAAATGTCAGACTGCCCCCAGTAGATGTAGCTGGACAGCCAGTACCAGCTATTACAAGTGTCCGGACAAATTTAAGCGATTTGATGATTAAGTTGCTAACGGTAGCTAGCCTTCAGTTAGCATTTGATAACAGCGCAGCGCTTGACAAGATGCTAGCGAGCGAGTTAGCAAGCTAGTCCGTTGTTGTTGTCTTTCCGTCTATTGTTGTTGTCTGCCTATGATAACATACAGTTCAAGGTATTCGCGGTGTCCCGTGACCAGCTCTTCACAGTATCCCCGGACAGTTACTTATTATTAATTTAACCGGGGTTCAATCATACTATCTCCACGATCTGAGCTTAAATCCTGCTGTACGGATAGTGTTTTTCATCCCGGTGTGCAACTGTAGATGGCCTCTTGTGGGGTTTAAAGATGGCGTTCTGCAACCTCCCCGTTCCCGCAGAATCCCAGCATACAGCGCGTCGTCGTTATATTTGAGGGTAAGAAAATAAAAGAAAGTTTACAACAGTGGATGATTTAGTCAGTCATTAAAGCAGGACAGTGGCTTCAATGTGATTTTATTTTTTTTTGTGAGTGAAAACAAAGCATTTCCTGCATCCGGCTATACGTACTTAAGTTAAAACTGGTGCACAGAACTTTGATAGAGTTTCCAGTGCATCTTTTTGCTTTGGTACCAGAAATATGGCTGAAATTATTTGGATATGTTTCCATGAAAATTATCCATCACAAGTTGGACATACTTGATATTACAACTCCACATACGTCTTTAATACAATCAAACTATCATCATTTTCAGGTTTGCGTTTACTCACATAATTGTACAAAAATATAGTATTTTGCTATTTAAATGGGCCATTGACAATTTGAGCAATTGAACATTTAGGTGTACACAGTCTACACAGCATTCTTGATTATTTATTTTCAGTTCAGCACATAATGAACATGGCTATGATTCCAACTAATTTTAATCTATGGTCACAATAAATGTGCCTGTATCATCTTGTTAACAATAGGTTAACTGGAAATAACAGGTTATTACAAAGAAGAATATCAATGTAATTATACTTCATATATTTGAAGGCCATATCTAGGGACTACAGATGAAAAATAGCCTTTTGGCTAACTCTGGCACATTTGCAGAAATGTTTTTATTAATGTGCACTGTCCCATTCAAATAAACCAATAAATAAATATATGTTTATATACGTATATAAATATAGACATGACATGGTTCAATGAGGCCAATGATGGCCATCTAGTAAAAAACGATCTTGCTAGGAGGGAACAAAAAGCTGGTTTGATATTAAAATCCAAGTTAACTCATTAGTAACCTACTTGAGTGAGCCTAGCCATATGCTTTGTGTAAGTATAATAAGTGTATGTTCTTCTTTTGTTACTAAAAGTCCATTACTAATCGTATTCAGAATCTGTCGTGTGTGCTCTTCTGTTTTATCTAACTAAGGAAATTATTGGAGATTCTTGTAAAATAGCTCTATTATATCTTAATGAGCTTAGAATATAATAAATATTGACCTTAAATATGGAATTACATGGCTGTTCAGGCCAACTGTCATTTTACCACCGCCTGATGCACACCTTGTTGTGAAAAATGATCTACTATGCTCACAGGAATAACATAGTCCACATGCACTCTGTATCTTTCCCCACAAGAAACCATTAACAGTGTATCAAATCATGTCTGTAGTAGTATCTGGTGCCCACTAGGAGGTAGCGTTGGCTCAAGTTTCAAACAATTAGGGTTCGGGTTAAAGTAGGGTTAGCTCATGAAAATATGATGTTGTTGGTCCTGCTCTCCACTACCTGGTAGTTAGTGTTTCAGGCTACATGAATATCTCTTCTGTTCATATGTATGTATATAAATGATGGTTGAACAACTGGTAAAAGTGTTTAGATTAGTTGCACGTTTGTCGGAAAACTACTCTTTGATCACTATCTCTTATTAAAACCTGGACATATTTTGACTTTCAAGTTTCAGGAGCCAGACAGGTTCAATACCAAGCAGGTGTCCTTTAATTAGATTAGACAGATTGTACGGGTTTCAGGGAGCACACCAACCCTTAAAAGCAAACTTTGAAAGTCATTCTCTTTGTGAATTAATCTGTTATCAGGAAAGATTTGGGAGTAGCTGACTGGCCCAGAACAGTGCTGTGCTGTCGCCTCTACTTATGCTATCATGAATTATAACTTTTCAACAGGGTAAATCTTTTTTGTTTTTGGCCCTCCCCCACAGTGGAGGACGCAGGCAACTCACAAACATTACTGGTAAATTCGGTGTTTAGTGTCTAATTTAGTCACATGTTATCCCTCAGACCTGTCAAACCTCTGACATTTAGAGGATTGAGCAGAGAAAAGCAAATTCTTCAATTTACTTTGTAGAATATGGTAACTATGTGCAATAAACTCTAACAATCTACCTGAACTCACTGGATGTGCAGTAGGTCAGGGACTTTGTTAATGCAATTGTTCCTCTTGAAAGGTCAAGGTTCCACTCTAGAAAGCACTGTAATTCAATTTTGGCGGGGGGCGGGGGGGGGGGGGCAGCAGAAGCAGCATAGGTGGTGGTGTTAAATCAACAAGGCTAAATGTGGTGAACGCACATTGTGGCCACGTTTTCTTTCTTTCTTTTGTTATGTATGCATCTGTATAAATGAGTGCGCGAGTGAGAAATATAGTGGCTGCCTCTTTATGTGCACTTCTGGCCTCGTGTGTCCGTGCAGTGAATAATAAAATTCAGAAATCTGTGTATTGGCCAGCCTATGGTCATAATAATTCATTTAAAGTTGGTTACACATGTTTCAGTAATTAAGAAGGGATATCATTTAATTCACTGTTAAAATTATAATATTACAGCCTACTTCCAAATATGAAGATTGGCCTGTTCAATGGGCTGCAGAAATAAGGAAAAACATATCAGTTGTGAGCAACAAAAGACATTACAAGGTCTGAAAGTAATACGCTTAGTAAGATAGATCACTTATTGATAAAAAAAAAAAAATCCAATACCAGACTGTCTCTGTTAACTATCAGTCTTTTACAGCACTTCCACCTTGCCACCTCACATCATTTACAGTAAATGTTGCTGACATGTTTTAGCCAAGTTGACTTTTCACTTGCAGGTTAAATCAATTAGTATTACATTATTCTTCTTGGGGTGTAATTACTCTGCCTTGCGGGACTTGCATCTTCATGTGTCTACTGTTAGGATGCCATATTATGGAAGATATAGCAGTCGTTTAACATACTGACAAAAGAAATTAACCCACTCCACTAAACATGCTGCAGCTTCCCACAATTCACAGCCACTGAGTGGTTGAGTTCGTACTCTTAGATGTATTTATTATACCAGAATATGTCCTCTTAAATCTTTTTTTTCATGAATGAAATTTTTAAATAAAATACACTATGCATATGTTTGTTTGCATTGGAAAACATTGTCATAATTGTTGTTGAATATTGACTGCACCCTCAGTGTTACATCCATTTCACTCATGAAGAGGATATGCAAATGAGGGGGCAGAGACAGACAATTGAGAAATGGATTATAGACCTCAGTGCTTATGTGTCATATATTTTATGCGGGGTGTATAAAGAACATTCTTCGCAGAGCATATCTTCAGGGATGTCACAAAGGCCAGTGCCAAGCCTGTCAAGGGTCAGAACACACCAAAACAAATGTCTTTGGTTGACTCCTGGTTGTCTTTTCAGCCCTGTTTTATGATTGAGCAGCTGACAGGCAGTTTGTCACAGCGTGCCTGTGTACGCACTAATAAAGAGGCAGATTGCTGTTGTCCTTTGTGATTTATCCTGCTCTTCTGTCCTCCATCTGCACTCGATGAAAACTTAATTAAAACCCTGCCTTGTCTCCTCATTTCATCACAGACAGCGCGAGCAAATCATCTCCCACCATTTACAGCCTTTATTATTTCTTTATGAACACCAGAGCTGAGGAACTGGGCAGCATGAAGGCGCCACAGGCCTTCTTTTTCGTCTTGAACTCAAACCTCATTATAAGATGTAAATGCACAACTGCGAGCATGTTTTATTTCAATCACCCCCTTGAATTAGCAGTAAAGCAGAAGTGAAACTGCACCATCTGATCCCTCTTAAGCTTTGCTTCACAGAAGAGTGCATTGTGCATTGTGTCGACAAGTTCAGCTCATTAGTCTTTATCAACAGTAGTAGTAGTAGGAGAAGTGTTAAAATACAGCACTTAGCTGCTTAATCAATGTCTTATAGGGATTTGCAGGTGTTTAGATGTTTAACTTTGGATAGCTGAAGCCATTCCTCAACCGCCTCTACTGCTGATTCACCACATTTAGCAGGGCAGTTTGTCAGAGGAGACTGCACCAATCTCACCAAGGAGGAGCGATATTCAATTTTCTCCTGGGGTGCAGTATAAGTAAACGAGCGGAGGATGAGACAACGGTTCACGTCCAGGACACAGGGTCCTCATACTGAAAGTAGCATCATTCACACAACTGACAGAGATGGTTGGTTTTACAATATTTATGTCTCAAAAAATCAAGATAGACTATATCAGGACAGCTGACTTAACAAACAGTATTGAGCAAAGTCCAATAGCATCAGCGGCAGTCTTCTCAGTCTACTCTCTTTATGGCAGGAGTGATCGGGCCAGCGAGTAGCACGGCCCTCCAGGCCTTTTTCCAATGTCTAATGGGAGGTGTCCCCTTGATACTGACAAGCATCTTGGTAAACTGTCCCCCAGAGGACCATGATCGTTTTTTTCACTTTTCTCTGGACCCTAAAAGAGCAATGCATCCAGATCACTGGCTAGAAAATTAAGTGAAATGCCGATTAGACAGCAAGCAACTTGTGTAAAGCTGAACTATAGAAATCATGTTTGGCCAAAAGGTTTAAGATCCAGAGAGAGAGAGAGAGAGAGAGAGAGAGAGAGAGAGAGAGAGAGAGA